TTTTTACGTTAACTTTTAATCTATTACGTACGTATGTCAACCCTAATGCTGATGAAACTTTTTGGGCGAACTGAGCATAATGTGATAATTTTACTCAGCTTAAATTGGAGAGATTCTATGTATCCTACAACGATCTTTACACCGGTCAAAAACGGTTCGTAAATGTTTTTGTACCCATCATTTTTCTCCCAATCCATATTCATAGCATTCGAGATTATTTTTCGTACATATACATGTAATTGATTAAAACACTGGTGTGGACCAAATTAAGACAAATTTGGCTCAAAGAATGGCCATTTATTTTTTGTGAGCTTCACAAAGATATAGCATATAATGAGATAGAAGTCCAACATCCACTCAAACACTCGCACCAACGCCTATAGGATAGCGAACTGAAGCGTTAGGAATAGAAATCAATTTCAGAATGAAATGAAAACCTAACAGTAAACACTGGAGAGCTTGACGAGTTGACCGTTCACGTGACAAGGTTCAAGATGATGATTAATGTCGCAAATTTCGCCACTAGCAGTAATAACCTCATACCATTTTCATTGCTTCTTCTCCCATTTCTTTTTTCCCTAACATTCCCAGCTGCTTGAAAGATGTGTTTTCCTTTTTTCTTGATGTTATAGTGTTAGTAACCGCATGGCGACTGATCAAAGTGTTCTTGTGCTTGTGAAAATGATGGGAAGAACAACAAAGCAAAAATTTCTTGACTTACTGCGATCATGCTGGATACTTTTTATTCAGAGATTTATAAGTTCAATTACGTCGATGTGAAGTTAGGTAAAATCGATATGTGACTTTGATTCATATGTTCCTGTGCCTTGCTCCATGGTAACGATTTAGAAAATTTTCCTTTTCAGTATGACAAATATTTTCATACTTCTGGTCATTACTCTTGCCGCTGCGCGTGAGTATTTAGCTCCAAATCGTATACCCAAATGGAAGACAGATGATCCAAACTATGGACCTGACTTTGGACAACCAGAGCAAATTCATCTCTCAATAGGAGGTAGGAATTCATATAAATTTTGACTTTAAAGAGTAAAAAAATTAAGGCAGCTGAATTTGATTCCATATGCGACAGAGTTGATCAACTTGAGTGCGGTTTTTAATGATTTCTCATTCGCTTTCCTTGAGTGAAGCTTTTAAAGAATCCAAAGTGATAAATGAACCAAAATCCTTCCAAAAAACACACCGCTAATTTCAAAATTGGGTCCTCATAATATGGAATTATTGAGTTTCCTATAGCCCATTCTTAGAACATTAGGCAAATGACCGATAGCTAATTCAAACTTGATTGCGATATGAGAGTAGGGTAATCAATATGCAATTCGAGAATGCTTCAATGATTAATTCCAGAAAATCCGAATGAAATGGTTGTAACTTGGCTAACATTTGACGACACAGGGAAATCACTGGTCAATTATGGGACTTCAGACAATAAGAAACTCACCGAGGTGAGCACCAAAAATATCTGTTGTATTGTTTTTGTTCTAGACCTCCTTTGACTCTGAACATTATACGTCTTTGTCTGTCGTTTGAAACCAAATTGTAGATTAATTTTCGGTCAATAATGATAGTCGTTTTTCGCCGAATTCTGATCTTTCTCAATGGATGTGCCGCCTTCTCAATATTCATCTAGAACTTTCGCTTAGTCGAT